AATTTGGTCTGGGTCCGAGGTGGGCTTAATAACCGGCGACTACTGTATTACATAAAAATCACCTCTAAATTCGTTAAGAGAAGCGAGGTCGAGGGCGATATACATTTATGTTGCTGTTAATGTCGTCTGATTAAGAGAACCTGGTTGTCATTGCATGTCAGTGAATATGTCCGATCGAAACCGACAGGACCAAGAGTCCCGGACTCCATCATAGAGCGTTAATCGCGCAGTGACCAAACGATCGAAGTACGAATCTGATCGGATCGGGACTGCTGTGCGGCCAGTGGGACGAGCATTTCCAGTAACGCGATCTATAAGGGTCCATCTAACACTGTCAATATACGCGATTGGAGACTAAAGGTCAACGGTCCCGCGACTCAATGCTGAGGGTGTTGGACTTCCCGCCTCGGGTGGTGCACCACCTGGGGTTGGGTATGACCGGCTGATGATGGTTAATAAGCCGAAAATGGCCATTCCAATCTGCCTTGTCTTTTACGGTTGTCTTGCCCTGCGTATACTAGTAGCCGCTTAGTTACTACCTTCGGAATTAAAACCTTCAAAAACACGTCGGCACGAGCACGTCCTAATACCTTATAGGAGTTAAGGCTAAGACGGTTAACCTTAACAGTTACAATCTTCCGGGCCCGGTTCCTTAGGTGATGGCAGAAGTCGTGGGAAGGCCGGATTGTTAGGAATAGTTTATTCTTCAGAAGGATAGGAGAATAGGTTGTAAAAGATTTGACTATCGGAGCACACGTCTGGCCGCGAGGTGGGCCAGGTCCGAAGTAATGTCTGGTGGTAAATACGGCCTTGGGGTCTGTCCAGACAGATTGAGTTCACGCCATTGTTGGTCGAGGCCAGAACGGGGGAGACACGGTATGTGTGTGTTGGCTAGCCGTGAAGGTCACGCATCCGTTTGCGCATAGGCCTGAGGCACGCGGGAAACTGCTTTCGCGAGGGGCCGTATGCTCTGAGTGACCTCGTCTGTGGCATCACAATTTAGGAGGGAGTCGGGCAGCACCGACCACCACAACCTGACCGGGGACCGCACAGCTCATGATAATAAAATACTGTTGCTGTCGTGCCAAAGATAAAAAAAACCTGGAATTCAACAAAGCGCCTTCAATGCTTGATTCTGTCTCTTG